AGCGGAGTCCACGGAGTTGAGCGTGAACCCGCAGAGGCGATTCAACAAACTTAGCATTTTAGAATCAAATGATCAAACGATGTTCTCTGTGGAAAAGGTCTACGTAGTTGTTGATTCTGATGCGCGAGATCTGCTTAAGAAGGTCATCGACCTGTCAGGTTTCTTTCAGCAGAATGTCGTCCCTGCTTTCGTGCGTTTTGCTTCGTATTTGTGTTTTGCTTAATCTTGGCGCCGCGCAGCTCAACGAGCTAGGCGATACGATCGCCCCAGAGGGTGTTATACCCGAGATTATAATCGGCGATCAACTTTTTCTTGGACACTCCGTGCTGGTATGTGAGGTCGGTGATAGTCATAATAACGATTATTCAGTAGGGCGCAAGTGGCTCACAAAAGAATCTAGGCGTGAGGTTCAGTGCATGGCAATAGTCGAGCACGGACCATATTCAACGCTCGTTACCTGAAAAAAAGCGGTCGTAGCCGATTTGCCGACATATGCCTTGAGCTGCTGTAACAGAAGCGTGAACTATTTTAGAGTATAATGCACTGCAGGCAGTCGAACTAAACTATTGTTGGGAAAAAGCAGACCTTTTTCTGTCAAAATATTGAAATTATCATTAAGCTGAGACGAAGAATGACAATTTTCGTTTGATTAGGAAACTAAGGTTTCCCCCCCCCGCACCCCCCACCTCCCCCCCGTCTCGCCCCTCCTCCCAACGCCGCCTCTACATCCCCTCCCCCCCCTCCACACTACTCCGCCCGCGCTCCACACCACCCCCCACCTCCTTACCCGCCCCCCCTACCCAGACACCCTCACCCCCACACCATGATTTTTTTCCTATGCTATAGTCCAAACTTATTCCACCGATAATCAGAGCACCAATCGTCCTTGTAACCAGAAGTTCGAATGCGGTGAAGTTGAAATCAGGCTCAACTATTGTTGCTGGAAACGCGAAAACCATAAAAAGGCGAGCTGTGAAAGGTAGCGTTACTACCCAAAAAGTCAAAAAATTTTCTTTTGGTGAAACCTCGCCCACAGAGATAGTTCGGTGTCCTAATCACGAATATAGCACTCGTTTTGGGCGCTAGCGTCCCACAGAATTCGGTGCTCGCTAAATTTGCATGGTATGGTATTTGATGTCCTGATCATGATAACCGAATTAGTTTTCCTCCCTGACGCCATTTGGCGCTGAGTTGGCGCCACACCCTTTTTTCAGTCAGAATATAAAAAACGTGCGTAGGAAAAGCAAATTGATAAGAGATTGCGGAGTAAAGAAGACAAAAAAATGCACGCAAAACAACATGGTCATGTGCACGGTGAAACTGGGGGAAAAGCGATGTAAAAAAAAGCGCATACGTGGCGGTGGCTGATGGTTGGGGTCCCCGACGTACGGCAGGCTCGGCCACACACACAGCGAAACGGCGCCGGGGCACAACTAAACGAAAAGAAAGGGCCGGGAGCAGAAGATCCAAGTGCACGCGAGCAAAGAACTCGAGCCAACAGTCACGAGAGGAAAAGGCGTGCGATCGCGACGAAGAGCGACGAATTAAAGGGCCGTCGTAACGCTGCAACGGGAAGGCGCGACCGCACCGGACACCGGACCCCGAGAGTTCAGAGAAAAATGTTCACAATAAAGGCAAACGCCGGGGATCTCAAGCTGATAGTGACGCCGCAAAAAAAAAAAAAGACCTCGGCGGCGGAGGCGGGGGGGGGGCGCATAATGGGCTGTGGGTGGTGAGTGGCGCGTGGGCTGCGAGGCGGATATGAGGTGGTGCGGGCTGGGGCATGGGGTTGAGAGGCAGCTTTTCTACGGGACGGTAGGGGCGCTGCGTGAGAGAGGGAGAGGGTGTTGTTCGCGTTGTAGGTGGGGCGAGGGCCGGAGGCGCGCATACCAGAGCGCGAGATAGAGTGTAGGCGTCTTGCCCGGATGCCGAGGCGGCCAGCGGCGCAAAGTAATGTGGGAGTAGTGATGGCGAGGGATCGAAATGTTAAAATGGAATCTCGATATATAACGACAGTAATTTCAGAACGGAATTGTATGTTAAGTGACTAGGGCGCGATTTGCAGCGCCAGGCGCCAAAATCCTCAGACCAGCGAGCCAAATTGTATGATGTTTTTTTCGCCCGTGTTTCAGGACGTCGGAGTTATCTCTTGAACCCACACTGTTCACGCAATCTGCCACGTAGAAACTAAGTTGATTAAAGTACCCTGTTCTCGGCACAATTGGATTCCGTTTTCTAGGTAGAAGCCCCCGTAATATGGTGTGAGTCCGCAGGCCGAAAAAGACTATCGCAATGCATTCAACCTCACGCCTAAATTCTTCTAGTGAAGCCAACATTGATGAAAAGACCCTCACTGGAAAAATTCTATCCTTGTCGGTCGCATTAGGTCTACGGTGAACGGTATCTTTCCTGGGGTCTTTTCGCAAAGCCTCTGAATGTGGTTAAGTCTGAGCTGATCTAGCCCCTCTACCTCCAACCTCCCGTCCATCCCGGGCAGTTGATAGGCCGTCCGTCCAGACGCGCGCCGCAGCGCCGCGGTGCCAGGAACACTACTTTGCTTTTTCACGGCTAATTCTCACCTCATTTGTACACCCTCTGTCGGAGATAGCGCACGCTACTCCAATCCGGGAACCCAGACGTACAGACAAGAATCAGTGAAAAGTTCTGGAAAAAATGACTAAATTAGCCTGGGAAAAGCAAATAGTTCCTGGCACGCGCTGCGGCCCGTTGACGACCGCCCTAATCAACTGCCCGGATGACGAGGGTATAACTGTGCAGCACTGCAGTAGCTTCACGTCAATCCCTTCGCTTCATATACACATCGCAAATGAAGCGATACGAATGTCAGCATCGGTCGTACACTGGGCGCGGCGTGGTGGGCGTTCGGGTTGATATGTTGCAGCTTGATAGGGCGCTACAACAGTGCCTTCGTGAGGAGAGGCGCTGCTCGGAGGAATTCCGTTCTGCTAGGGGTTAATCCTACACAGCTTGGGGATTTATCGTGCCACTTACCTTTAATGAGGCAACAGGCATGGTTTTGTCCTCTAGGTAGCGAACTCGGAGCTCTCAAGACATATGCATAAAACTACCCTTAACTAGCCGGGTATCTTGAACTAATGTGCTAATGAAAGTTAGCAGTAATCCTCCTACTACAGGTGCGAACTGTCAACAGTTCTCCGATGATATTCAATCTGGGTTCGTTGAGCGATGAACCTTGGACTGGTCGACGTTCCTTTCTGCGTGGATTTTCGCCGTACTTCATTTCATTCTCGAAACGATCCTGATCGCTGTGGTCGCATGACGTCGACATCGTTTCCGCCCATACCGAAATAGCTACTCGAGCGCTTGAAAAGGCCGCGATTACACTACAATCAAAACACTATCATGCTACGATTGTTCCGATTACTTATTGTTTTTGTGCTGGTTACTTTCTTCACAGGTGAGTAAGATGTCATGGAAAGGCTGTGATAAATTACAGTATGCCAACTGTAAAAATTAGATTAGTTGAGATCAGCGCGTTTTTGCAAGTCCTGAAAAAATCCTAAGGTCTGTAACTGATAGAAGTACTCCTTTATCAACATCTGAACCCGACTTTTCTTGTACAAAGAGGGGAAAGAGCAAACAGGCACCTTGGTCGCGGCGCGCACCATTAGAGTTCGCGTCGCACAAAGTAGCAAAACACATGGAAGGGATATTCACGGTGGGATATTCCTTACAAGTTTCTCTAAAAAAGAAGCAAGCTCTCGTTCAGTGCTTCAGTCGTCATGAGAAAGGTGAGACCATTCATCACCGCTGCAAAACTCGAGAAAGCTTACAGTAATGTTTACCAGAAGAACCCCAAATCACACGGTGAGGACACTCACGGGCATCTTCTGGAAAGATTTCGCCGTGCTTATGGATGACGACTGCCGCATCATTGTTCAGATACCGTCGCTAGTCACTTGGTTCATTATTTGCCTTTTGCCCCAATCCCCTTGGTCCTTACCCGTTTCAGGATTACAGGGCACAGGGCTCATTGGTTGGGAATTTCAGTCAAGCTCTGTCCGACCCCCCTCCCCCTCCGGCCCTCTGTTCCTCTTCATCGAATCGAGCCGTCGAGCGCGGGGGGAGGTGGGAAACAGGAAAAGCCGCGAGACAATACGACCCCCCCCCCTTCTACCAATTCTCAGATTTTCCCCAACTTCCTGCCACTTTTTCCAAAATTTCCCGAAAAACTCCTCCCAACAATGACCAAGTACGACCCCCCCCCTTTACAACGTCCGTGAAGCGAGAAAAATCAACTATCAAAATAAATTTTTCCCAGCCCAAATACGACCCCCTTCTCTGCTGGCAAATGCGACCCCCTACTGGGGATTCTCCAACAATGATGTGCCCTGAATACAGGCACGTCGGACTGACGATTTTCAGGAGTGTAGGAAATAGGAAGAGTAAAGTCTTTCCCCTTGTCAATCTCTTTTCGGGATGCGGCATGCACAAAACTTCCGCTCAGAATCGTTGTAGTTTACTGAACGAGATGAGGTCCATGTCATGAATTACGGGGGCCACCAATGTACAAGTCAGTGTTCCGTACCAATACACCGTTCGAGGAAGATTATGAGGCTTTGTTTTCCCAGGCGAGAGCCAATTCGAGATGACCGCCGCGCGGTAAGAGGCCACTTGTTACTGCACCCCACCCCTAACTACGAGGAGTGTACGAAGAAACCCGAAAAAAATGCCTAGAAAATTTGTCCACCCCGTCACATGAGCTTTTATGGTTTACCATCCATGAAAGCTATGAGAGCAAAAGCTTTGACACCGGGTGGGTTGGGCCTACATCTCACGCTTTCCGGGCAATGTGCTCTCCATTACACAGAGAAAAATTTGACAGTAATGCTTCCCAATGTGGGAATCATTCCAGTCGTTCATTCTTGGGCGTTGGTAGATTTTCGCGACTCCTTTGTTACACTTGATCACACCATCGGGATTATTTATAGCTAATGTGAAGGTCCAAGACGGGAAAAATGATCTGTGATGCACTCATTGTGTCACATCTAGCGAAAACGCATCAAAGAGATATGATTCATCGGCAGCCTGATGATTTCTGCTCGTCATCAACGGGCATGGACCAAGAGGTTCAAGGTACGGCGGCATAGTAAAAGGTCATTGGCACGGGAGAGGGTCAGGACACTCGTGAACTGTCGCTCCGTCGCTCGCGGCTTTTCATACTTAGCATTAGCCTGTCGAGTGAGCTCCGGATTTGATGTACTCTAGACACACCGTAGACATTTGTGGCTATTTTTGGCTACACAATCCCTATTGCAGCTATCTATGACCTAAAAATAACATCATTCCGAGAAGGAGGGGGGCGTCGCATGCGCCGACCATGAACGCGGTGATGACGATCGTCTTGCCACACACCACACTGCACCAGGACCCACTTGACCCAACGCTGACGTAGCTCAGTAATTCAAATCAGCTAGCTATGAAATTCATCGAACTGGCCTATCTGGTTACCGCAACTTGGATCTCCCGACCCACTGCACTCACGCGCCAATTCCGAGTTCCGCAACTGCGACTCGCGTGGTAAAATCATTTGGACGGCACATTCTGTCTCGAACAGCAAAACGGTAGCTGTTGGCCTGTCTGAAGCCCCACATAACCAAGCACTGGGGGGGGGGGTGAAGCCCCATATTACCAAGTATTATTCAAGATAAAAAATCCCAAATGTACTACGAAAGGCCTGACAAAGCGGAAAACTGAAAAATCTCATAACTCGGAAGGAACTAATTAATTATGCATTAATTTAGCAAACGCGGCAAGTGTCAAATCGATGATGGCTTCACAAATGATGCAAAAACGTGAGGTAGAAGACAAGAACTTCCTCACTTACATCGGTAACGTACCAGAGCACATCGGCGTATTGGTAAGGACCTTAGCAACTTTTTCACTGTTCAGTAATTTTTCGCCACCTTCTAATTTTAGATGATGCATGCACGACGTTTCCGCCGATAATTTTCTTCAGAAAGCAACATAGAAATCAAATCTGGGCCCGCAATGTAATCATGATCTGCTCCACTACGATAAAAACATATATTTTTCAAAATACCCTCACGTAAACATCACAGTGAAACCGCAACAGTTAATAACACAACGACAAACTATGAAATCTGGTACAATATCCTAGTCTTCTAGTCGTGACCATTCCTGGACTTGTCTCTGAATGGCCTTGTAGATTGATTGCTTGTCCTGAATAGGTATCATCTTACCATAACTCGAAAACAAGTAGCGCTATCCATGGGCATCCACCTGCGTTTCGAGCCTAGATTCAACGCTCGTGCCAGCGTTTAGGAATGTATAGATATCACTCTTGCGGACGCCAGCGTCTGGCATTATCCCCCCTCTCCACGCCCTTGAGGACAGCTGACCATAGTACCTAAGGAGCCGTCGCGCCAGAACCGACTTAATTCCACGAATCTGCACCACCAATACATGGCTGGTGAGCGCGTAGACGCAGCCCCTTGGATGTTGTTCGTGCGCTAAATTCTTTCGCTGCGAGACTTCCATAACATGCATTTCTTCCTTCAGGGATGTCGTATTTATGTGGAGATTTATGGCAACATCATACCCAGCGTGCATTTTCTACAAGTCATTTCGTTTCAAGATAGGTGTAGAGAACATCAGCAGAGAACGATGCTGAGAAAGCTCCAAACCGACCGTGAGACTGTTTTAACCTATAAGACCTACCTTCTCAGTCAGCCTGTCGCCCAGCTTTTTCGCTACACCGTCTTCGTAATATGACCCAGAAACAAGGTCATCACGTAAGGCTGTATGAAATACGAGTAGAGCGCTGAACGCCGGTCTCCTGGAAAATGTCAGTTAACCTTATCTCAATACGGTGTAGAAATCGCGAACACTTGCTCGTGTAATTCTTAGACGAGATTCGTTACCCTCCCCACATCACACATGCTGAACCAAAAAAGAAAGTAATTTCGTTTAGAAACCATACTTTTCAATCAAAATACAAAAGAAGCCTCTGGTAGCCATCCACAAAACATGTCAGTCTTCCCACTCCCCCTCCTCAAAACAAAAAAATCTGCTTTATCGGT